CTTTCGCCACGGCTAATTGGGGTAGAGCGGTAACGGACATCACGGTTTTTTTGCCGATCCCCCCCCCCCCCCCCCCGCTGTGTCTCGCCGACAGACAACAAATAATACTCTTCACTGTCACGTCACTACCACAGACCAACGTGACTGTATCCCTCGCCTCTAAGCGATTAACAAGCAGGTCCAACAGCGAGACACGTGCTGGCTGTGGGACAGACATCCTTCCACCGGTCGTCACCGATGGCGCGGTTGCCTGTTTGGTCGGCATGCCGTGGTATGTAAGGCAGGCGCGGTCGTTCTATTGCTGCCTGATGTTGATTGACACTCTCGGCGGACACTGACTGTCGCTTGTCATGTGTGCCTTGTCTCTCTTTCCCTTTCGAAACGAAACAGCTGCAACGCGATTACACCATCGGCGGAAGGACGTGGGGCCGGCCTGCTTCGGCATCGCCGGTCGCCCCCCTACGGGCCGGTGGCAGCGTCGACGCATCAGGCATGATATACTCCTCATTTTTGGCATCTCATGAGCCACGCCAAGACTACAGAAGAGTACGCAGTCGCCCCACCCCCATAACAGGCAAAGTGCACACGCGCAGCCAATTTCAAAAGTCGACCTTGCCTATTGTCGGAAGCTGACTTCTCCGCCGTGTCTTAGATCCAGGCAATCGTCGGTCGGTTGCCTCAGGGACGAGCTTTGCCAGATCAAGTGTTGCGAGGGAAAGTGTTCTCCATTTACAAATCTTTTCGGTAGCTGAAAACTCGCACTCCTAACTACGATGTATTTCGTGCCCTCAAGGAATTGACGACGCATGAAGCCTTATTGGTTACCCGTTCTCTGTATTTCTCTCCCAAATGCACCGACACTGCGGTGGGGAACCACCGTGGGACTGGGTCGTCGCCGAAGTCTACGCCATTTCGGGCACCAGATAGGACTTTTGTTGATACGATCGCAAGACTAATCACCCATGAACAAGCGATTATTGCGTCCCCAAAATTGAAAAAAAAAATCCCAACACTGCAAAACCAAACCAAACCAAACAATACCATATCATAGTACAATCCAAAATGAGAAAAACATGAACACCCCAACACAAAAACAAAACCCACCCCACCATTGAGACAGCTAGAGGTGAACTATTCGCGAAAAACAAAATACCTTTTGACAAACAAGATCAGGACTGCATGATGACGTCTCGAAACAAACCATGGTCGGACTTGGTAAGCCCAGCCAGTATCCGACCTACCCTGTCCTGCTGCTTATTCTCTGTCGTGCGGCCAAGGACGCTCTTGTGGGCCGATGCTCAAAGCATACGGAAAGGCTCCAACTTGGCTCCAATTTTTCAGGCCCAACTACGATGTTTAGAGTGGTTCTTACGGAAGGGCAGAGAAGAAGAGAGCCTACAAGGTGAGGGGATTCTAGGCACTGATGGACGTGATGACCTGAAAGATAGCAACAACTGCAAACAGTTGCTGACTTTCGCAAAAGACAACAGCGTACCTGCCCTGGCCCCCCTCTACAACGGATCCCCCAAGAAATCTCCTCGTCAAATGTATTCCGCCCACAGTAGTATGTGCCGCTCTTACGTCGACTACCCCATCGTGCCGTGGGAGGCGCCGTTCCCCGCATTTTGGTGTTCTTGTGGCTGTTCCGCTATAGTAGCCAGGCCGAGGCGTGGCTCCCAGTAATCTCCGCTTTCGCCGGCCGCCTCTGCACCGAAAATTTCGGACGCTCTCCAGCTGCTGCGGGTGTTGTTGGCAACAGGTACGTCCCGAATTTCGACCTTCTTCCTCATGGCTTCAATACCAACCTTTTTCGCGGACAGCAAAGAACGCAACAGCACCGCCAATACCATGCTGACGTGCGCCGCTACGAGCACAGCCGCAAACACTTGTTGGCTTTCACTGCTTTCGTCCGAGGCGTCAACTTTCAACAGAAGAGCCAAGTACATGCTATAAAACACGACCAGCGCACCGGAGCGGTACAGCCCCGCGTCCACGGGGTCAACAAACGGCGCGAGTACTTCGAATACCACAAGGAGTCCAGCTGCAAACGCCACCTCGATCGCCACTTGCGCCGCAGTGCCCGGAAATAAAAAGACAGCGAGACCTGTCAGCCCTATTCGCCGGCCGCATTCCACCAACTCGTAGAAGTAGCGCCTTGGTTTGTACGGCTCCCAGAGGTCCTTCATCGGTCGCAAGTTTTCTGGGGTTGCGGTTCCACTAGACCTCTCCCGAACAAGATCTTTTCGGTTCGAAGCCAGCCACCAAGCGAAGACGGCAGGGATGCCAATGGGGTACACCAGTACCATCAGGCCGGCATAGACCTCCATTATGGTGTGCGTGCTGGTCGAGCAGGTAAGACTGTAGTCAGCCCGCAAGTACTCCACTTCATCGTCGAGAGTCTCGCACATGAAGGTCTGGAATATTGTGAAAGACACCGAAGAGTAGGTGGCGAACACGATGAACAGTGCGATCGACAAATGTTTGTCCGTCGCCTCTCGCATCCCCACCTGCGAGTGCCGATTGTTTCGCTTGGCGATGGCATGTGTAGCCGCAAGCCCACCCAAAATAGCCAGTGGCAAAAGAGTCGAAAAAGCTAGGCGCCCGTAGAAGTTAGTTTCCACCACACACAGGAAGGACAAGAAGAAGCCCAGGTTGAAATTTACCAAGTTCAACGCTGCCAAGAACCTCTCGTAAATTTCTGGGTACTCCACGTCAACCACGGATGCGAACTGCGGGTGGGAAACAGGAAGATGACCCGGATTGCAGAATCGCGTGAGGTAGCATGAATTTAGTTGAGGTTGACTCGGTTGTTTTCTGGCTGGGTCTGAGTGCACAGTACACTCTCAGCGGGAAACATCTTGCCGTGCTGTAGGTAACAAGGAGGCACGGCGATTTGGCTGTAGCACGGAGTGCTGAAAACGTATTTTCCTGAGGCAACACATTGGCCTACCAAGAGGAATAAGCACACTCAGGGGTACAAGCCCTTGGACCACTTCTATCTTTTCACCTGGGTTACGATCTGCCAGACAAGCCAGGATGATCTTGATGGCTGTGAGCGGAATGGCGGCGAGGGATTGTGTCTCGATAGGACAAGAACCTCCGTTCCCATTTTCCAACTCGCGATTTCGTGCCATCGCCATCGTCGACCACCCTCACCGGGTGGAGGATCCCCAATCCCATCAAGAAGGCCCAACCCACAAATAGAGCCCCCCCCGTCCCTCCCTTTAGTCAGGGGGGGGGGGGGGCGAGGGGAGCGTACTCTTTGTGTTTTGCATGCCTTGACCACGCGTCCTTGAGAGTACGGGGCATTGTTCCCACAGGACCGATCACCGATGGCCAATCGTTCCTTCCTACTTTGCCAAAGGTGGCTAAAAAATGTCGTCCCTATTTTAGTCTGTCTATCCAAACGATATCCCTTCCCACCTTTTCAAACCACTTCCTATGCCCCAGTACAGCTAACGTCTTCTGCTGGCTATCCCATGCCTCAAACATCTCCCTGTACTTTTCTCCTACTTTTCCCGGCTCGGTCATGTACACTTCCCTCTCCTTCTTGT